AGAGAGAGAGAGAGAGAGAGAGAGAGAGAGAGAGTCAGAAGAGTGCCAGAGCAGGGCGTCAGATCAGTGGAGTTGGAGTTTCCAACTGCAGCTCTTATATAGTTGTTGGGATCCAAACTCAGGTCCTCATGATTGAGTGGCCAATACCTCGAACTACTTATTCCTCTCTCCATCCCTTAACAGGCAGTACTTTCTGAAGCCAAGCATGTTTATTTCAAGTGCTTAATTTGGTTGTACTATATAGGTCTTATGGTTGAGATAAATTATTTTGGTAACTTAAATCATTTTCCGTTTTGGACATATTTGTAAATAAAGTAGCTTCTTGATGTGAGTCAGGCCTATCAATTTGGTATTAAATTTGTATTCTTTGTATGTGTTCTCACAATTCAAGCTTTTCACCAACAGCACTATAACCTCACTTACCTCACTTTTCAAATGCTGTACTTTTATGTAAGCCAAATATTCTAACTAAAGGTTATTTTTTTTTTTTTTTGAGACAGGGTTTCTCTGTGTAGCTTTGCGCCTTTCCTGGAACTTGCTTTGTAAACCAGGCTGGCCTCGAACTCACAGAGATCTGCCTGCCTCTGCCTCCCAAGTGGTGGGATTAAAGGCATGCACCACCATCGCCCGGCTCTAACTAATGTTTTAACAGCACAATTATAAATAAGAATTTTAAATGAACATTCTAAACTCATGAGAAAAGGCATTACTTTGTCTATTAAATAGCTCTGTGCTTTCTCAGGAACATTAAGCCCTGAAAAATAACGGATATATAGTGCCAATGACAACTCTTGTTTGAGTTAAATGTTCAGGGTGATAACCAGGATTTGATAAATGTAGCATAATCCAAGAACCTCTAGGAGGGTGACCCCACTCTAGTGGGGACTGGAATATGTCTCAGACAAAAAAGAAGATTTGACATTGCTGTATAAGTACCATGTGCTAACTGATTGCACAACTTTAAGTCTGTGTATGAACCAGTCAGTTTCATTAAGACTGATGTTGAAACATTGTTAAGGGTGTTTCTACAAGAGCATGGATAACTTACCAGTGGCTACATGCTGAAGAAAATGTCTCTGGTTCACCCATCATTAACTCTAAATCCTCATAGAGGGGTGTGCATTCCTGAACCCCACCTCATGCCAGAATGTTGATGGGCAGACTTTTTTGCAGGTCTTACAGACAGACTCATAGAACTCATGTTTTAGTTTTGTTTTTTAAGAGTACTGTTGGGTTGAAGGCAGAAACCATCCTTTGCCACACATGCACAAACTCACTTTTGGCATTTTCAGCTTGTTGGTGTATATGTTAATATTGGAGAACATTTATTTTCACCCCAAATCACTGAAGTTTGCTCTTGGTGTGGTGGATGTTATAGTTTTTTTTTTTTTTTCAGAGCTGAGGACAAAACCCAGGGCCTTGCGCTTGCTAGGCAAGCACTCTACCACTGAGCTAAATCCCCAACCCCTAGATGTTATAGTTTTGACAAGTGTATATTGACAGGTATCTTTTGTGGAATAATCTTTCTGTACATTGTGAAGATGTGTCTGTTTTGCCTCATCTGCCTAAAGCACCTTATGATTGGCTTAATAAAGAGCTGAACAGCCAAAAGCCTGGCAGGAGAGGATAGGTAGGACTTCCAGGGGGAAACAGGAACTCAAGGAAAAATCAGAGGCAGGAATTCTCCAGCAAGGCACTAGGAAGTCAGACTTACAGTATAGAGGAGAGGTCATGAGCCATGTGGCAGAACATTGATTAATATAAACAGATTAATTTAAGTTATAAGAGTGAGTTGGGAACAAGCCTAAGTTAAAGCCAAGCTTTCATAATTGATAATAAGTCTCCGAGTCATTATTTAGCAGCTTCCAGTCCAAAGGAAGTCCAACTGCACTTGGCACTCAATGTGGGGTATCCATCATCAGTCTACAGGCCCAGAATATCTGATAGACTTTTCTGTGGAGCAGAAATCATGAAGGACTGGCCTACCTTGTGTTGGCAAAGTTTGGAAGTCGACTTCCTTTGTGTCCCGATTGTCCAATTTGGACAGCATACTGTCAGCAGTTGAGGCAAGGACAATTTCTTGGACAAATGACTAGCTTTGCCACATTGAAAGCAAATTCCATATGGGGGTTCTTTGATACTCATCATCTTCTCTGAAGTAGATTGGTGCTGCCAGGAACAGACATGTCTCACTACCATGATAAGCCTTATGTTACTGAAACAACTTACATGCCATATTCTATGTATCTCTGAAGTATTTGAAGACCAACTATCCATCTGAAACATATCTATTTGACCTTGAAAACATACCTAACATGACTGCAAGCTTGATTGTTACAGATGACTAACTAATAACTTGCATTTTATAATTATCCTAAATAGTTTGTTATAATAGCTTTTCAGGACTAGAACTTTACATTACATTTCTAAATGAGCTGCATAGATACAATACTTTAAACATAAGTAGAAACATATATAAATTGAGTTATAAGAAAAATAACATTAAATTTGTGTCAATAGACAAAACTCTCCTCCACCTAAATGTCATTTTTCTCCATTCATGCTAAACTCTGGCAATCAATGCCCTTTTTACTTTTTATATATTTTTTTTTATCTTTTCTAGAATGTTTTCATTGAAATCGTAGTAGGTAGCCTTTTAAGATATGCTTTCCTTTCAAAATATAGCATGCATATGTTTCCTTCTTGCTTTTGTATCTCATTTCTTTTTACTGATGAGTAATAGTCCATCGTTTTAGTATATAATAATTTATTTATTTAGCTACTAGTAACATCTTGATCAATTTCAGGCTTTTGCACTTATTAATATAGATGCCTTAAAAGTTGTATGTAGGGTTTGGATGCGCAGTATAAATAAAGTTGGTTGACAAACTTTAGGGAGAAATGTAACTGCTGGATATTGTGCTAACAGTACATGTAGTGTTCTAAGAAAATGCTAAACTGTCTTTTGAAGTGAATCTACAAATTTATATTCCAAACAGCAATTATAAAATTAATATTGGTTATCAACTTGACTGAATCTGGACTCAAATAAAATAATACTGCTGAGCATTCCTAAAAACAAACAAACAAACAAACAAACAAACAAACACAAGAAAAGGAAAGGAAATTTGACAAGCTGTCATTCTTCATTTACTATACTGATTCACTCACTGAACTTCTTGCTTTTTTTCTTGGGAAGACATTCATGTGACAGACTTTGGAAAAGAGATTTTGGTCCTGGCAGGGTAAATAGATATCAAAGGATTAAAAAAAAAACATTGATGATGTCTTGAGAATACCTGAACACTCAGAAATAAATCAAGTGGGCTTGTCACATGAATATCTAAGCCACATCTATCTGGGTCCAGTTTCACATTGGGAAAAGGTAAAGAGAGAGAAACAAGAGAGAATTCAAGGAAACACACAGAGGGCAGCTAAGAGTATACCTTAGTTCATTATATATTGCTATAACAGGATATTTGATGCTTAGTAGTATATGAAAGTATATGAAACAAAGATGGTTATTTAGCTCACAGTTCTAGAGGAATGATGGTGAAAAAAAATGAAGTGGAAAAAGTGATAATGATTGGGGAATGGTTACCTGGCAACAGGAGAAGAAGGAAACTGAAGAGGAGACAGGCTCAGTCTTTCAAAATAACCTATTGCCTCCAGAGCCAGTGAGATATTCAAATAAAGTATTAGTTCTTTTTGATGGCCTCACCAAACGAACCACCTCCAAGCAATTCCATGGGGAGACCAAGCCTCAGATTGAGTTTTAGAGGAGATGAGTCAGATGAGTCATATTCAAACAAGAGCAGAGAATAAATTTTATATTTTATTGGCTGATGCTTTTTGGTAGTACTAATTAAAAAACCCAGGACTAAACATTGTGTGATCTTTTACAAATGTAATGATGTGATTCTGTTGGTATGTGAGTGTGTCTATATGTATGTCAAGGAAAATTAATGTAGTGCTAATAGCTATAGATAGTGTAGAAAAATAATATCAAAGAAAGTTTATTTAAGCAGTATTTTCAATAGAATTCTTGAAAGTTGGAGATTCTGAAGTACCTGCTCATTATTTAGATTTAGGGAAAGGGCCTATTTATAATCAAGGGCTTATTTAATTGTGGAGTGATATAATGACTGAGTACACACAGATACTTTAAGTGGATTAAAATCTATTATTACATTATGATTAGATGCATTAAAATGCAAAAATTTACTAACCAATCTTGAAAACAATGACTTCCAATGTCTGATTAAAACTAGAAAAGAAGCAAGCCAGAAGACAAAGATTTAATATTTATATAGAAATTGTTGATGATTGCTTACATTGTAGTCATCCCAAAAACCAATTTATTTAACAATGCTTCCAAATTATACAATGTATGATATGAAGCATGTCCAGGCTAAATAGGGTCTTTATACTGACTGAAACAATAAGGAAATAAGGAAACGCTTAATTTTAGGAGTTAAAGATGCAGAGGATTGAATAGTTGGTAACATTAGAACTATCTGCCATATAGCTTAGCCATCTAAGTGTAGCTGGACTTTTGAAAAAGACTGTGTTTGTGAAACAAATGATTTTATTGTTAAACATCATAGTGTGCAAAACACACAATCTTCTTAATGTTACAACCTCTGTAAATTTGGAAACTGTATATTTGAAGTGTGATTATGGTGCCCAGGGTCAGCAGTCATGAGTTGAGGTTAATAGCCTGGCTCTTTCACTCCCCACTACATTCCCTTGCAACTTTTAACTATTTTATGTCTCTTTCCTCCTGGATGATCTTGGGGCAAAAATCTATATCTAGCTCATTTTTACAGAAATTTAGAAAACAATGTGAAAAATATCTTGGAAATTATCCATTGTTAAATATACAGAAAATGTACTAGAAATAGTGGAGAGGGTGCCTGAACTGAACTGGCTTATCCCAGTGACCAGATCGGTGAATATCCTAACTGCCATCACAGAGCTTTTCTCCAGTGACTGATGGAAGCAGATAGAGAGATTCACAGCCAAACAACAGGCCAAGCTTCAGGAGTCCAGTGAAAGAGAGAGAAGAGGGATTCCATAAGCAAATGCATCAAGAAAATGTATGTTATTCTAAGAGCTATCTATAAAATAATTCTACAAACTATTTTGCATTTATAATGCAGTTTACTATTACCAAGCCAAAGATCAGAAAATTATGTTGCGAAGACCCATAAATCATTTAACACATCAGCAATTCTAGGACTCTGCTTTGGTTCATTTATAAGCTCATAAAATTTCTAATTTTACAAATTTTGCATTTTTCCTTAAAATGTGTTTTTGCTGATGACTACACTTCTGGCAATACTTTCATTTTATGTTCTCGTTTAAGCATTAAGAATGGATTTACTGCTATTTGAGATATTTGATATTGTTAAAGAAATTAAGTAAGCCACCTTCTGTTAGACTTTAGAGCCTATTTAAAATTTCAATTCTAGTTAAGTGGGAAAATACATGCCAGGATGCAAGTCCTTAAAACAACTTCAAATTGCCCTATTCTATCTGAAAATTATTTATCCATAGTAGAAGTAAGCTGGGGACTGTGCTGATCTTCCTTGCTTGTAATTTCTGTAAACTCTTTAGTAATGGGAAACCATGGTTTAGAAAGAATATTATTTTAAAATAGAGCTACCATCGTTGTTTTGCTAATAATCACTCAACTAAAATCTGTAGTTGGAGTTTTCCTGTGTCCCACCTGATCCACAGCCACTCAGACCCAGGTAAACACACAGAGGCTTATAGTAATTAAAACTGCTCAGCCATTAGTTCAGGCTTACTACTGAATAGCTCTTACACTTAAACTCAGCCCATTTCTGTCAATCTATATGTCGCCACATATTCCTTGGATTTACCTGTGTGCCATTACATGCTGCTCCCTGGATGGCGGGCTGACGTCTCCTGACTCAACCTTCATCTTCCCAGAATTCTCCTTGTCTGCTAATCCTGCGTATACTTCCTGCCTGGCTAATTGGCCAATCAGCATTTTATTTATCAACCAATCAGAGCAACATATTCACAGCATACAGAGCTACATCACTCAGAGATATAACGTTATCTCTAGGACCCAGGGGCCGGAGATGACATCTGATGAGTGTGTGTGTAAATGTGGCTGTCTCTTTGACTCAGTGTCTTATTCCTGCTAAATTATGATCAAGTATTTTTCCAGGGCAAGAAGAACTGGGCATTGTCAGCCCCACAAGAATAAAGCAAACAGTCTATCTCATGGAGTTCTTTACTGATTGTGTTGGAGGGCATTAATTATGGCTGTACACTAATGGGTGAAATGTTTTACACTTATTCAATCTCTTTAAATTATAAAAAGAAAGTATTGGTATTATAATATATAATATACTAATGAAGAACAGACTCAAGAATTAGGAGACCATGACCAATCAAGGAAGAGGCAGATTTTTTAAATTAATTAATTTTCCCCCAGCCTGAGCACATTTCCCCTCCCTTCTTCTCTCCTCCCAGTCCCTTCCCCTAACCTCCCCTCTCCCATTCTGCATGCCCTATCCACTCCTCCTCCTTTCTCTTCAGAAAAAGGCAGGCCTCCCGTGTATATCACCCAGCCATGGCATAACAAGTTACAGTAAGACTAGGCACCTCCTCTCCTATTAAGCTGGACAAGGAAACCCAGTAGGAGGAAAGGGTCCCAAAAGCAGGTAACAGAGTCAGAAATAGAGCATGATCCCACTGTTAAGATCCTCACAAGAAGATCAAGCTATACAACTGTAACATATGTGCAGAGGACTTAGGTCAGACACATGCAAGCTCTCTTGTTGGTGGTTCAGACTCTGTATGCCCTTATGAGACTAGGTGAGTTGATTCTGTGGGTTTTCTTGTGGTGTTCTTGATTCATCTGGCTGCCATAATCCTTTCTCCCTGTCTTCCACATGATTCCCCAAGGTCTACCTAATATTTGACTGTGGTCTTTGCATCTGTTTCTATAAGTTGCTGAGTAAAGCCTCTCCGATGTCAACTGGGGTAGGCAACAATCTATGAGTATAGCAGAATATCATTAGAAATCATTTCATTGACTTTTTTTTTACAGTCATGTTTGGTTCTATTCTAGCTCTTTGGAAAGCCAACTTCTGGGTCCTGGTCCAGGCAGTGTCAGGGGTGGGCTCCCT